ACTCCCAGCGGGTTTTATTTGAGATAAAAATGAACCGACTACTAATGTTTTCATTCCTCATCCGAGTATCAATAGTTATTCTCGTATGCGGCTCACATGTGAGAGGGTTCGCGCGAAACGCGAATCTTTTTTCTTCTGCCGCGAATAAAAAAACTTTCACCGCCATAAAAGTATATGAGTTCGTCCCAATACTGCGCCGATGACTTCCAATCTCTCTGTAGCGTGTCCCGACCCAACCCTGGAGATTACTTTTTCTCCTTCATCCAGTAAATTGAATTAAAATGAGAAGCAAACGGATAAAGAAAAGGGTGTACGTCGATTTTCACAAGAGTTTCGTGTTTAACTTTTTATACCTTTGTGCTTGTTCGATGTTATCTAGTCGAAAAGGTAGGCATTTTCTTTAATTTTTAAATTTATTTGTTAGTTTCGATTTTTTTTGATAGAAATGGTCGATGGTATTATAAATGTGATAGCTCATAGAATACTTAGAACAGGCGATTGTGGATTTCATTCGCATTACGTAATATTGAAAAGAAACTTTGGCGACATTTTTTCTTATAAACCAGAGGACATGATAGTATCCAAAACACCTTTATGCGATGTAGTATAGCAACGAGGCAAGCACAAGAAGTCAGTCTGAATGCGTACCATAATGCTTAATGACAGTGCAAGTTAATGCAACAGCGAAATATAGGATTGCTAATTTCAGAGTATAATTTATATATGTTTGTACAAACGAATTCCATTAGCGAGAAATTGCAGTATCGTTAATTTAGAGACCGTTATCTGCAGTAGCTTGTTCTTGCAATTTATATAACTTAGTTCTATCAATTTTACCGTTCTATGATTGTTGACAAATTAAATATTGAATATGACTTTCAAGTTTAACTTTTGTAAGTTAAACTGCATTAGAAACACTTAAGATGACATTTAAAAAAAAATTCAATTAATCAGTTCTTTGGAAACAAAATGGCTAATAAGTGGTGAGTAATAAAAAATATATATATTTATTTCATTACCTACCTACCATTCATATACCGACTTCAAATTTTGGATCCATATTAAATTCATTAAAAATAACTACAATTTCAGAATAAAATAATAATAACAATAAAACAAAAAATAAAAAATAAAAATGAACGTTAAACGAACCTTAACATTTAGGTTTAGGTAGTTTTGAAATTTAGTTAAAAAACAATTATTGTTTAACAATTTTTTTTTCTTTGTACGTAAGGTACATCCGTAGAACTAGTTGAAATACGGAGCATGTTATTAATATTTGAAATATTCTCTTTGACACTATAATACATGCGGCTTAACCATAGCAATGTGTGTGAGATATAAGCTTGTATCACTCACTCTATTCTTTAAAGACGCAATTTCACGAGACGACCTTTATTAAAAGCATGCCAATTAAAATGGTTCTTAGAAATTTTATTCTCCGATGGCACCAAGTTTCAAGTTGAAAGGATGTCTCGTGTCGAAAAATGAATTCATATATCTGAGAACGAAACCCTTTGACAAATGATATTTTCATTGCGAATGTCGAATTGCGAAGGGGAAGAAATCATAGCCCAATCTTTGAATTTTAGAAATGTTAGATTCACATTGGTTATTCTGGCTTCTACGTTAATGGTGGGTGAGCTCACGGGGCTCAACCTGAAAGAATTTGTTAACGTCTGCCTAGCAACAGCAGCGCTTCGCTGAATCTACCAACGGATCAAAATTTTAAATCTTCCTTTCAATTTTATCATTCCTGAGTTAAGCCTGAAGTGATAGGTGCAAATATTTTTCGATGTTCTCAAAACACCATAACAAAATGAATGATTTGCAGATTACGCTCACCTGTAATGATAGATATATGTACATAAGTAGCTCAAAAATCTTCAATAACAATGGCTTTGATATTCGTATACCACAACGGACAAAAAAATACGATATAAAAAAATATGAAAAAATAAGAATTGCGTTTGTCGCAATTTGCCTACGGAAGCCTAAGCATGTAATTCACAAAAATAATGAATTAAAATCATGAAAGTCTACTTTACTTGGTAATTTTGTAATTTGTTTACTTTGAGCGCACTATAAAACTTTTTCGCATTGACTGGTTATGAAATAACAGACCCTCGCCGACAAGAGCTCTGGAAACGGACCAATTAATAGTTAAGGCCGGGTTTATTAACAAAACTTTTCGGAATTGTTTACAAACACTAATTATATAAAGTTGACGATTGGCAACAGAATCGTTGCAATTAATTATAAATTAGCCTTTATCTGTGAGTTTAACTGAAATTAATTGTGATAATATCGATTTATTCGTGAATGGCTTTCCACCCGCAGCTTCATTGGCGTCGACTAGACTTTGTACCCCGTGGACGAAAACCCGTATTCAATAGTAGGATAAAAGTTAGCCTTTATTCTTTCCCGGGGCTCAATCTATTTCCATACCCAAATTCGGTTTAGTGGTTTGAGAGTGAAACGTAACAGAAAGATCCTCTTTCGTATTTATATTATGGTCCTATAGTTCATAATGACGCAAATTTCACCTGTCTATCAGAAAGAGACAACTGAGACGTGATAGGCTATTTTAAATCAAGAACGATCGTCTGGTAGTCGCTACATTACATAATGCGCTAATTGAATTTATTGAGTGATTAGAATTATACATATTAAAAATATTATTAATGTATGTTCACAAATAAAATGAAGTATGCCAAGCCTCCGGAAGTGTAAAAAAAATATTTTTGTTATTGCTTAGGTGGGTGGACCAGCTCACGGCCTACCTGAGGTTAAGTGGTTACCGGAGCGCATAGACATCGACAACGTAAATGCTACCACCTACCTTGAGATAGTCGTTCTAAAGTCTCAGTTTTACAGTACATCGACTACTCCACCCTTCAAACCGAAACGCATTGCAGTTTCACGGCAGAAATAGGCAGTCCTACCAGTAATAGTAAATGCGAGTAAACCTTAGAAAATAATCGTATATTCTACGTATTACGTGTTATCGATGTTTTTTGAATGCCAATTATGTGCTTTAAGCCCACTGAGTTTCTCGCCGGATCTTCTAAGTGGGTCGCGTTTTCGATCCGGTGGTAGATTCTGCGAAGCTCTTGTAAGGGTCAGTGTTAGCATCACTCCGGTTTGAGCCCCGTGAGCTCACCTACTAGTTAAGTTTACGCTGAAATAGCCTCTCAAGGCTAGCTTAGGCAAGGCAAGGCAAGCCTAGGTAGGAAAAAAGATGTGTGGTGTCATGGGACACCGGATAGGAACGAAGTTCCTTATTATAAAAATATTAATTTTAAGTTCTATTCGAGGTATAAAGAAAACGAAACTGGAGGATTCGCAACAACCCACGGTCATTCGGTAACGTGCGAACTTATTGTGGTACACTTCATTCACGGTTGTTTGCATAAGAGTTAGTGTATTGCGCAAACGAACGCTCTGAGATCGTGGTCAATGAATGATAAAAAAATATGTTATTTTTTGTACGTTATTACAAAGTTAAGTCGTACACTGTCTGCATTACTAATAAAAATCTTACGTTACGGACGTTTGCCCGGTTAGGGTACCACTCCGCATCGTCCCATAAGGAACTGCGTTCCAAAAAACAAAAGTGCTAGCTGAAGATTACGATATCGCTATTACAATACTATTGGGACTTCCTGATGTCTCAAGATTTAGTTTATGGGCTCCTGTAATCGCTTAACAAAGCGAATACGAATTCTAATTAAAAGGAAAAGAGACTCATAAAGTTCACAAGCGTTTCATTAACATCGCAGTCCGGCGCTCGTTGCTGGGAACAAACAGTGGGCTGCAATTCCGACCAAATGAGATGTAAAACAAGAAATCTCGGAACGTTTCAAGGCAATCTATTACGTTGCGAACACGTAAATAACGAAGACTGACTATAAACTAAACCCGCAATATCTTGGGCTTACAGTAAAAGAACAACACGTGTCTATTGCTGACCGTAGCATGTATGACGGCTTGAAAGGTGCAAGAGCCACTATTGGTAGAATTCTAGCGTTCTAGACTTCTAGCGTTTTCTACTCTGGTTAGCCGCGAGCTAGTCCACAAATCCAGTGCAGTAAAAACGGTTTTCTTGTAAGCATTAATCCATAACGCATCAAACACAAAAAAAAACAAAAAAAAATGTGAGCCGTCACGGGACGCCTGGCAGATGTGAAACATCGACATTATTTTGTAAAAGTAATATACAGAAAAGAACAGATTGTAATAGGAACTAAATTTGTCATAATGATAAAATAAAATATTAAGAAAAAATAATTTGTTTTCAAGTAAAACACAGGTTATGTGTACAGTAGTAAACAACACTTTATACACTACGGAGTATACACTATAGGTATCCGAGCTCAGTGTAGCAAGAGAGATGGCTTAACGCCGGATCGAGTGGGAGAGAATCGCACAGTCGATTGCGCATGGCGACGCGTCGCCACTGCATGCGTCGCCACCCCAGAAATCGGTTTTACGTGCGGCTATAGATGTTTCACATAAAAAAATAGTGCCCGATTTATATTAACGGTAAGTTTTTAATTATCACTTTGTCTAATCTATGTAGATTCTTGAGACTTATTGTGTATAATTAATTTATTGTAGAGTTCCAATAGTCCTGTTTATCTTGACTTTAATTTTTGTTGAAATGCACTCCGTGGATCATGTTGTAACGTTCCGGAATCAATCAGACTTAGTACCGTCTAATCGTCATCTCACGCCAAGGAGCTGAAATATCCTCATTTGATCCCTACTAGATACTACGTAACATCTCACCATCATCATTAGTCTACCTTCATATAATTTATTAATTTAAGGCCCTATATTTTTTAAGTAAACTATTTGTAAATTTTATGAACTCTTGTTTATTTTGTGTGTGTGTGTGTGTGTGTGTGTGTGTGTGTGTCTGTGTGTGTACAACTCAATCAACTTAACCAAAGTACTCTTTTAGGTATGGACTCGTCAATGCGTTCGTTCCGCACTCTTCAGCCCTGCGAGAACCATCCTATCAAAGCCCTGCAGTACTCAGCTACAGGAGACTCGATCCTCGTGGTCAGCGGTTCAGCACAAGCTAAAGTACTCGACAGAGACGGTTTTGAAGTTTTAGAATGCGTGAAAGGAGATCAGTATATCACCGATATGGCAAAGTGAGTTTAAGAGTAACATGTAAACAGTTACTGGTGGTAGGACCTTTGTGAGTCCGCACGGGTAGGTATCACCACCCTGCCTATTTCTGCCGTGAAGCAGTAATGCGTTTCGGTTTGAAGGGTGGGGCAGCCGTTGTAACTATACTGAGACCTTAGAACTTGGCGCATTTACCTTGTAGACGTCTATGGGCTCCAGTAAACACTTAACA